AAGAGTAGGGGGTCATTTTTCTGGTGATAGCATCTGGGCCCCACCCCCAACAGGTCCACATTTAGTAACGATCATACAAGGGGAGACCAAAAAAATCCCTGTAATTATCTTCTGGAGGGTGGGCCCCTTGTAGTACCAGCTTCCCTGGCTAGGTGAGTGTTCTAGAAACCCATCTGTATCTAACATGACTTAATAATAAACATGATTTAAGAATAAAATTAATTAAAAAAAGAAGTAAATCTAACAAAACTTTTATGATTTTTACTCTGCAAACTACACAGTGCTAATGAAAGAAATCAATGAAGGTATGAATACGTAGACATACTGTGTGGATCGATAGGAAGGTCTGACATCATAAAGATGTCAATTCTCCACAAATTGATATACAGGTTTAATGCTACTTCTATTAAAAAAAATCAAGATTTTTTGTAGACATAGACAAGATTATTCTAAATTTATATGGAGAGGCAAAGGAACTAGAATAGCTAAAACAATATTGAAAAAGAATACAGAGGGAAGAATCACTCTAGCAGATTTCAAGACTTACATAGTACATTAATCAAGGCTATTTGGTATTGGTGGATGAATAGACACACAGATCAATGGAATGGAACAGAGAACATGGAAATGGCCCCACACAAATGTGCCCAGTTGATTTTTGACAAAGGTGCAAAAGCAATTCGCTGGAGGAAAGAGCATTTTTATCAAATGGTGCTAGACATCCAGGCCAAATAAATAAATAAACCTCAAAAGTCTCAGGCCTTTTACAAAAATTAACACAAAATAGACTACAGACTTAAGTGTAAAGTATAAAACCACACAGCTTTTAGGGAAAAATATAGGAGAAAGTTTTCAGGACATAGGTCTAGGCAAAGAATTCTTAAACTTGATACCAAAACCATAATTCATGAAAGAAAAAAAATGAAAAATTGAACTTTATTAAAGTGAAAAACTATTGCTCTGCAGAGTACCCTGTTAAAAAGATGAAAAGCTACAGATTAGAAAAAAATATTAATAAACCACACACTCTGTCCAAGGACTAGTATCTAGAATATATAAAGAACTCTCAAACCCATCCCATTAGAAAAAAAGAGAAAAAAACAAGAAGAGGATATAGAGATGGCAAATAAGCATATGAAAACATAATGATGTTCAACTTCATTAACCATTAGGAAAATACAAATTAAAAATATATAGCAAAACAGCTAAAATAAAGATTAGTGATGATACCCAGTACTAGCAAGGATGAGGAAAAAGTGGGTCCCTCAGACATGCTGGTGAGACTTTGGGGGAGATCCCAAAAACCAGAATTTACTTATAAAAAATTGTGTGTTTATTCTTATGTGTTTAAACTTCAGTCACCTTCAAAGTACTCTCCATTTGATGCAATACACCTATTGAGATGTTTTTCCCCTGCTCAAAACAGTTTTTGAACACATTGATTTTGATGCCTGTTGGTGCTTCTGCCATTTGTTGTTTCACCTCTTCCACATCGGCAAAATATTTCCCTTTGAGGACTTTTTTTTCCATCTGGGGAAACAAAAAACAGTCTCTTAGGGTGAGACTGGGTGAACAGGAAGAGTGGGGTGTGGGGGTCATGTCATTTTTGGTCAAAAACTGCTGAACACTCAGTGTGGTATTGCCAGGTGCGCTTGTAAATCACCCGTCATGAAATGGAAAACGCTTTGGAAGAATCTTCAACAACAAAAAAAAATTCACTGAAGCTGAACACAGCCTCTCACAACAACGTCAACTGGTACACTGATACAGATGGGTTTCTAGAACACTCACCTAGCCGGGGAAGCTGGTATTACAAGGGGCCCACCCTTCAGAAGATAATTACAGGGGTTTTTTGGTCTCCCCTTGTATGATCGTTACTAAATGTGGACCTGTTGGGGGTGGGGCCCAGATACTATCACCAGAAAAATGACCCCCTACTCTTCCCCATGGTCCCTGTGTTCTAGGTCTTTTGCCCACTGCCCTTAAAGATTACGGCTTTCGATGGCAGAGTTTGGCGAAAAGGAATGAAACTATTTACTGAAAAGTTATGCAGGTTTTGCTTAATGGCCAAATGCTGCTGTTAAATCTCAAAATCCCTTTAAAACACCCACGAACATACACAGTCCTGCCTTTGAAGCCCCCTTTGCCCAGTTGGGCCAGTCAGGCCAGTCAAGGGTACCATCCATTGGAAGAAAAAAACAGAAGTCTGGAGTTAGGCTATGCAGGTTTCTTGCTGTTCCCAGCACCATCGCTGTGTTGCCGTGATCTCCAGTTCTTAATTCAGGACAACATGGCACCTTCTCATGACCCACTAGCAAGAGTCCTTTCTCCCCTTTCCTTCTCGCTTGGTCTTTGAATTGTTCCCTCATGGTGGGGAGCAAACCATCCCCGAGCTCTCATGCACAGGCACTGTAACCAGGGGAGCTGCTCTGTATGGCTGCTACATCTTGCTTTCCTGCTTCCTAAGCCACGTAGTCAGGGGAGCACCCACTCCACTCCCAAAACTGTGTGGTCAAAAGCCTATAGCATGGCTGCTGTGCCTGAGTCCAAATCCTGGCGGGAATCCTCCCCCACAACCTCATCTCTGACTCCTTTGGCAGGTGGTGCAACCAGGGGAGCTGCCTTCCCAGTTACATCTTGGGTTAAATTTATGCAAACCTTCCAGGTTAGCCTTGTTGATATGCAAAATAACCATCTTTTCATGTGAGGTTTGAAGCTATCCTGCTTGTTATTGACATGTAAAGTAATTCTAAATGGCCCTGCTCCCTGTCTCCCTCGCCCATAGCAGCCCGCATTGGGGGTGGTGAGAATATCCTGTATTTTTCTTGGACACCCCAAGTTCTGGACCCCATTACAAATCTGTTCAGGGGGGCTCATATTTTTTGTGTAAGCCCCAAACTGGAAACAGTGTCATGTCCTTCAATGGGTGAATGGTTAAACGAATGGTGGCACATCCATATCATGGAATATTACTCAGGAATAAAAAGAAACAAGCCTTGGTGCATACAATGACCTAATGAACCCCCAGAGAATTATGTTGAGGGGAAAATGTCCAATCCATAAAATGACAGAAGTGACGAACAGATCAGTTGTTGCCAGGAGTTGAGGAGGTATGTGGTGGGTGAGGATGGGTTAGGAAGGAATGGCTAAGAGGGAAAAGGGCAACATTAGTGGTTCTTATGATGATAGCATGTTCAGTATCTTGACTATATCAATGTCAATAGCCTGATTGAGATCTTGTACAATCATTTTACAAGATGTTACCATCAGGGGAAACTGTGCAAAGAGCCCATGGGACCTCTGTATTGTTTCTTACACCTACGTGTGTATCTATACTTATCTCAAGATAAGTTTAATTTTTTAAAAGAAGAGCATTTACAGGACAATTGGGGAATTATGAACACTGACCAAATATTTTTTTTAGTGGGATGGTAACGTTGTGTTTTAGTTTCAAAAGGTTAGTCTATACCCTTGGAAGACCCATACTGAAATATTTACAGATGAAATGCCTGGAATTTGCTTTTAGATAATCCAGACTGGGGAATGGGAAGGTGACGGGGGGAAAGTGAGTAAGCGTAAAGAGATGCTTGTTGGGGCTGAATAACATGTGTTGGGTTTCTCAACATTACACATTATGTGTGTTATCAAGCGCAGAGCTGCGGGAGTTGGTGTGATAGGGTAGTTAAGCCACTGACATTGAGGCAGTTGGACCTGGTTTGAATCTTGGCTCTGCTACTTATTAGCTATGGAACCTTGGGCAGGTTACCTAACTGCTCTGAGCCTCAGTGTTCTCATCTGTAAAGTGGGGTTAATATCTCATAAGGAAGAATGTTGGGTGAGGAAAGGGAAAATCTTCAGCTCAAGGGACTGAGAGGGAGAGAAGCCAGTGCAGAAGCCCAGGGTGGAGGTGGAGATCCAAGTTAGGTTGGGCAGTGTCTTAGAATCTAGATTAAGATTTCAAAGAGTTTTAAAACTATGACAACTGAGAAGAAGCCATTAGGTTTGTGCTCAGAGCATCACGGTGCTGGTAATGGCTTGGTTTCAGGGAGGAGTGTGTGAGAAGCAGGTGGAGAGAGTGCTGGCATCACATGTGGCCATACTTTCAGACCCTGAAAGGATGGTGCAGAGGGAGCTCCAGAGGGAAGGTGCATTTAGGGAGCTTAAAGAGCGGAAAGGAAGGACTAGCGATGCTGTCATGAGGGGACCAGGAGCCCCAAGAGCATGGTGGAAAGGAAGTCTCTTTTCTATTCAAATTGGGGGTGCTACCAAAGCTATTTTATCTGCCCTGCTACTTTCCTCCTTCCTGTTCATGGGCTTCATCTGACATCCATTCAAACAGCTATTTAAAAAGAAAAAGCATTATAAGATAATAAGGAATGACCAGTGCTGACTAGATTTTTAGTGTGATAGAATCATGGGACTGTTTCAAGTCCTCATGTATATTCATTATTCATTAGGTGTCCCTATGCAGAGTGTATGCTAACTATGTCAGTTGCATCAGTGTGTTTATTACTATTACTCCAGAGTGACCAGTCTGGGACTGATTCACCAACACCCACACTAACGGCATCTGTGTTCAACCTGGAAATTCCTAGGGAGGAACATTTCCGCATCTATGGGGGTGAAGCTGTGGGTGTTTTTCTCAGCCACCATGGACTGAAGGACTCAGGTAATGAGTCCTTTGACGTAAGCTTTGTTAGAGAGCTGCTGAACACCTGAAAATTTCCCCAATCTCCTCCTATCCAGGTTGCACTGACCCAGAGGACATCCTCCATATGCTAAAGCAGCAAATTCCTCTCTGAGTGGAGGACTGAGTGGACTGCTGAACTTGGCCTCTGCTCATTCGATGAGAGGAGGCAAGAGTTTCTGATGAACTTAGGGGCAACTCTACCCACAGAACCACAGCTGCCCCAGCAAGAGTACCCCAACCCACTCATCATGCCACTGGGAATGACACCATGGCAGCCCAAAAGAAACAGAAACCCAGAATGCATAGGAGGACTTAAGCAGTGGGGCTCATCTTTATTGAGGGGAGCTCACAACTACTGTAAGTGGACTAGTTTTTAAAAGTTTCCCATTTCCATACAGCTCTTTCTACATTCAGAAAGCCATAAAAACATATTGTACAATGAACACTTTCTACCTGAAGAGCATCATGACAGTTCATAAACTTGTCAATAGATGATGCAAAACACTATTTACAACAAGATACGGTAAGTTCAAAGTTTAGATTCTGATGATATAATTCTAAAACAAAAATTTTATGTTTTTCCAGGTAAGGAAGACCGGTCATTATAAAAATATATAAATTCAAAGTCAGAACTAAAACATTCAATCCTATAAAAATATCTTTTACTAATAAAAGTTTCAATTTCTAAATAACATTCTTTATCAACAACAGTTACAGTCTTAAATTCTCAAGAAATACCCACTATGTCAGATGGTCCATTTAAAACAGACATGTGAAAGGAATTTCAAGGCACAGTTGTCAACCTGTCTTAGTTTTCAGAGATGGACCACATATGTGATCATGTTGCATATTAATGGCACAATTATTCTATAAGATATTAACTCCAGTATTTATATATTGTGAAAGCCATTTATAAAGACAAAATCTCTAGCCTAGAGAGAGGGTCCTTGGGAGAGATACCAGTTTTGTTAGGAACTGGCTACATTGCACTTTGAGGTGTCTAACTTGGAAAACCAGTAGTTATATTTTGACCACTATCTGAAATCAGCTCATTCATCTCATTTTGCTTACTCTCTTTTAGGGCATGATTGGGGTGGTTTCTTTGTGTCTGGGCTCTTTTTGATCTCCTGAAACACACTTTCAGCAGCAGGTAGCACAACTCGGCCACATTGAGCAGCATGCAAATTACTGAGGCAGAGATCATAAAAATAGTGAACACAGTTTTCTCCGTAGGTCTAGAGATAAAACAGTCCACGAGGTTGGGGCAAGGATCAATCCCACATTTCAACACCCAGGGCAGGTGGTACCCATTGTACAGGAAGTAAAACACATACATAAAGGAGGCTTCAAAGATGATTCGAAAGAAGATGCTACTGGTGTAAGTCCACCACAGGGCTCCCTCGATCCGAACCTTCTGCTTCTTAATGTCTTCCAAATCTTTGAATTCATTTCTCTTCTCTCCTCGTCTGAATTTGCGGGCAGCCTCATGTCGGTAGTAGGCAACATGCATGGCCACAAGCAGAGCAGGGGTGGAGACAAAGATGAGTTGCAGGGCCCACAGTCGGATGTGAGACACTGGGAAAAAGTGGTCATAGCACACATTTTTGCACCCAGGCTGCAGAGTGTTGCAGACAAAGTCTTCCTGTTCATCTCCCCACACTTCCTGAGCGGCCACCACAAGGATCATGACACGAAAGATGAAGATGACAGTGATCCACACCTTCCCAATGCTGGTGGAGTGTTTGTTCACACCCCCGATGAAAGTGTGCAAGGTACCCCAATCCATTGTGTTGGTTTATTCCTAAACAGACAAAGATCAGCAAAGGGAAATTAATGGAAATTTCCTTTGAATTTTATACAACAGTAATTATATCACAAACTGGAGCAAATTTTGCTTAGTGCTTGTAGGAGATTTTTCTGGTAAGGTATGCCCAATCTAAAGACATTCAAAGGTTTTTTACCATAGATAACTTTTGGGGGGATTTAAGATCATCTTCATTCAACTAAATTCAGATTATACAATAGGTCCCTGTTTGACATGAATGCAGGAATTCAGGTAATTCAAATTCCTACCATAGTTCCTGTTAAATCGCTGTGTATATGCATATCACATTAGTTTCTCTTTGCTCAGAGATCACAGAGGGTCCACAGAAGGTTTTAGTGATTAGATGGTTTATCCAAGAAAAAAAAATTATTCATCAGAATGAAATGATCTTGTTTACCTGGCAGACTAAGAAGGAAAAGTAAGAAACCAAATACTTACTGGTTTACTTTGCAATAGATATTTATATCTATTTCTATCTTGAGTAACATTATTTGCTGTCACCATGGGCTCTTAGGAAACCTAACACCATACCTATGGAAAGATCCTCTTCCAAAAGAGGATCATAGCTTTCACATGTTCTCCCTTGTAACCAGGCCAGTGATGGCCTTCCCTTCCAGCAGATACCAATGCAGAGCAGTTGCAATGAAGGACCCACACTACTGCAATGTGGAGCCTTGTTCCCTCTCAGCCCCCTGATTTAACATCCTGGGAGAAAATGACTTCTTGATGTCCACAGAAACTTTTGCTACAATTCAAACAGATGCCTTCTACATTGCCACACAAGACTAAAAAGTTGGTCAGCAATCTCCTTTAAAAAAAATGATGAATAATGAACACTGAGATTCTTCTGAAAGTGAAAGGCCCTCTCCTGAAAAGAATCAGCGCATACAATATTTCACACCCTTTTAGGGGAAGAGGGAGTCAACAAAGTCCTTGTGTCAACTCATCTTAGACTGTCTTGAATGCACGTGGAGTACACTGCAGTCGGGCTGCTTCCCAGGCTGACCCCCTCTCCTGCCAAGAGTTTTCTGACAGTCACCATGATGGTGGCAATGGCACAGGCATAGTATATCTGAGTGTCAAAACGATGTTTCAGATGTCTCATGGCATCAGTAAGTTAGCTGTCTTTCCACAGTTCATTTAATAACTATATCCTAACATTTTACTTAAGGAGTATTTGTATTCCTTAGAAGACATAGCCTTACAGGCAGGATATTTATGCCATACAACAGATTCCTAAATGAAACTCAAGTTTAGGCGAGAAGAGGAGATTAGCACGCCCACTCCTTAGGAGCCTATGTCTGAAGTGTTTTGTTCGTTCATGTCACGTCAAGAAAGATACTGGCAGGCTGATGACCTGCCAGAGAGTGGCCAGGGGGCAGAGCCTGGAAGGACTCTTGGCAGGAGGGGATGCTGAGGGCGCTGGAGCAGTTCAGCTGGAGAACAGCTTGGAGGCACATGGCAGCAGGGGGACTGTTGGACTCAGAATTGGATCCACGGACAGCCAGGCTCTTTTTTTTCTTTTTCAATTACAGCTGAAATTCAATATTATTTTATATTAGTTTAAGGTATACAGCATAGTGGTTAGACATTTATATAATTTAATAAGTGATCCCCCTGTTGGGTCTAGTACTCACCTGGCACCATACATAGTTATTACAAATTATTGACTATATTTTCTTTTCTGTTCTATACTTTACATCCTCATGACTTGTTTATTTTGTAACTGAAAGTGTGTTACCTTTTAATCCCCTTCATCTATTTTGGCTGCCCCTCAACCTCTCTCCACTCTGGAAACCACCAGGCTGATCCCTGTATCTATGAATCCATTTCTGTTTTGTTTGTTTATTTTGTTCTGGAGATTCTACATGTAAGTAAAATCATATGGTACTTGTCTTCCTCTGTCTGACTTATTTCAGTTACCATAAATACCCTCTAGGTCCATCCATGTTGTTGCAAATGGTAAGATTTCATTTTTTATGGCTGAGTAATATTCTGTTGTAAATATATACCTCAACTTCTTTGTTTATTATTTGACAGATATGTCTGTCAATAGACATTTAGATTGCTTCCACATCTTGGCTCTTGTAAATTAAAACTAGAACTACCTTATGACCCAGCAATTCTGCTTCAAAGTATTTATTTGAAGAAATCCAATTCAAAAAGATATATGCACCCCTATGTTCATTGCAGTATTATTTACAAGAGCCAAGATATGGGTTGTCTTTTTTTAAAGAAAAAGCTGAGAAAAATGAAATAGGTACAACTCTTAGACATGAATTCTTCAAAGCTGTGGTTTCTCATCCTTAAAACATTGGCTCAGAGGCTCTCTCAGGGGTAATACAGTAGGCTCACTGAGGAGGAGTGGTCTCCATTTTTATAACTAAGCCCTCCCTTAACATACCACTTATCTCAAGACCTAAGAGACAGTCAATGTTCACATTAAACTAACCTTTGATTTAAAAGATTCATTTTAGACAATATGAATTGTACAATTAATGTTTAGTTTCCTATGAAATTCATTATAATATATTTTTCTACCCTGGAAGTCTTTCAAGATTTGGGGAGGTAGAAACATGTATCATGACCTTTCAACATATTTTACACTGGCAGTGCCCCCTCAGAGGCCAATACTGTTTATATTTAAAATGAGATGTTCTCTAATTAACCAGTAAACATTTCCTCTAGGCATTTGGTTAGTTAAGTGCCCAATCAGCAATTCTTTGATCTATCAAAGAAAGTACATTATCTCAAAACCTTCAAAGTGTACAGAATTTAAACTCCCCCACAAGTTTTTTTTTGTTGTTTTTTTTTAAGCTGTTTCTGCCTGAGTTCTCTATCACCTGCCTGAACAATGGCAAATCTGGTGTCACGTGTTACCTCTCCTACTGGGAAGTAAACTAATCAAGCTGCCTGAATAAGGCTAAACCAGGGACTGAGATCAGGAGGTCACAATTTCCCCACAAGAATATAGTCCTACTTTCTAGAAGCAGGATCCTTGACTTCTGCTCTTTGGGGCTCCTCCTTAAAAAACAGGAATAATAGTGACAGTAGTAGCTTTATTTCTTTTTTACTTCTCTGGGTCCCTAAATCACGTACCCTGAAGGTGTTCTCCCAAAGTAGCAAAGCTGAACAGAAAATAATGTATTCTATAATGCATACATATAGTAATATACATACATTATAATGCATATAGTTACCTTTAAAGGAAGGAAAAGAAATGAGATGCCCAGGTCACTACAGAAAATGAGTGATCAAGGAAATTGATTGGACGAAAACGAATCACCTGACTGTTAGTATCTTACTGCAGGGTCTACCATGGCCCTATCACCTATCATGGTAGAAATGACTGGAAAAGGAAGAGCTGTTTTCCAGGGTCTTATCACTCCCCTGCTCTCAGTGAATGTGCACTCAGTGTTTCTTAAAGCAAAGGCTTCCCTTTCCATTCTTTTGTTCAGTCCCCATCATTGCTGAGGGCTTCCCGAGAAGCCAGGCATCTGTCTCTCAAGTCACCCTCCCAGTGAGTGCTAAGATCAGGAGGAGAGCTCTTCGCACAGTGTTAAGAGGAGGGCTGGGGGGTTGGGGGTGGCCCTGACACAATGCTGTAGGCACAGGTAAGCCCTGCGGCCCCTGCACACTCTGCCCACTCCCAACGGGCTGTCAGAGAGCAGAAGATTCTGCAAGTTTGAAAGGAGGCCCTGGCTGCACTTGCCCACTCTGACCTGACCCTGGGTGGGTGAGGCTACCCTCCTGGGGGAGCAGAGGCACCCCAATGGCCCTCAGCCACCACCTAGGGTGAGCTGTCAAAAACAGTGTGGTTATAGGGCATTTGAAGGCTGAGTACTCTTTGAGAACTACTTTCCAAACTATCTAGACCCATTCGGGGACCCTTTGCCATTTGTATTAATGAACAAATACCGCTTCCCTTTTAGGCTTCAGGCAGGCAGGTTGCAGGGCAGCCATCAGGAGCAGCTTTTCCAGTAAAAAAGAAAATATTAACCCTCTCTCTATAAACCAGAGAGGTGTAACTGGCTCCTTTCTGGCTCTCTTTTAAGGAAAGAATACATATACTTAGCTTCTGTAGTCTTCAACATATTAGAATGTGGCCCCATTCAAATGTACAAAGGTACATTGTATTCATGCTTGTGGTATATCTAACTATCCACAGTGCATTCTTGGTAGTAAAGCTCCAGTCCCAAATATTTACCTCTAAAAACAAGTCAACCATTGACCTTACTTCTGATGATACACACAGTATTATGAAGATAGACTGTTCTTCTTTTACAATTCAAAGAATTTAAGTCTATCAGTATTCTGCTTCAGTAATGAAATTTCTTGATTGTTTTAAAATTTCTTATTTAAGAATTTAATCATAACTAGTTTGTTTAATAATGGCATTTTAGTTTCACTAATGACAGAACCAAAACTGAAGCCCTGAACATCAGCATCACCCCAGCACACACCAGCATGACCCCTTCAAAGTCAGTCAGTGAATGTTTGACAGGCTGAGAACAGAACACACTCCTCACAATTTGCATGTTAGTTTGGATAGTTGAGAAGTTTGAACTGATAAAGGCAGGGACGACACACCTGAGCCTGACTTCCCAGACTCCCAGCCTATTGGCCAGAGAACCAGGGCGAGGTTCCCTCTTCTGGGCACAGGCTTTCTCCTTCTACACCATGTGATTGCCTAGAAGCCAATGTGGCCCCATGATGACACGAATATAAACCTTTGTGCAGCTTCTGGATGTAGGTGTGGATGTTACCTGTTGAGGAAAAAATAGTAAGTGTGGCCATTTTCCTTTAACTAATTCCTCCCACGTGTCTACTGCATGACCTTTGTGGGTAGTTTTTCTTCATCCCCAGAACTGTTATGAGGAAAGTCTGGATACTGCCAGTTTCCTGATGCTCTGTAGTTTGAATCCACAATAAAATAAAAATAAAATCTTAATGTAGTTTCTTTTCCCTACCAAAATAATAATGATACTACCACCAACCTCAAACTTCAAATTCATTCCCTGAGCATTAAAAAAAAAGAAAAAAAGAAGAAGTAAAGGGCATTTGAGAAACTGGATATGCTCCCTTACCCCCAAATCAGTAATCTTAAAAACAAAAAACAAAACCCACAGAATCTCTCCTTTATCTAGAAGAATCTCTATCTTTTGTCTCTAGAAATCTCAAGCCATCCAGGAGACAAGCTGATAGATGGCTTTTAAGTTTAATGACTCAAAACCTCATCAACTGTCCTTTCAAAGTAATGGCCAGTGACAAAATGGATTTAGTATTTATATATTTCTTCAAAATTAATTCAATAAAATAAAAATGTTTTTCTTTTTTGGAGTCTAAATATAAAATAAACAGTTCCATAGAATTACATGTACTTCTTAATCCATTTAAGAATTCAGAGTTAAAAAATAATTTCTATTAATCAGTCTCTGTTTATTTGAATAAACCTGTGTCTTTTCCAAACATTTAGGTCTAACCAGAGTAAAATGACCCTGGGAATAAAAACAGAAAAGGCCACCTGGGGACCCACCCATTCTAATGGATCAAACAAATAAAACAAAAACCTTCACATACGATAATGTCACTGTGGGAGGGGCCATTCCCTCCTGAACTGAGAAGCTTGGGTAGAACGTTGTTGCTCCAGGACAAACCACTCATGGCTCCTGGGCTAATTGGACTGTGTCAGAGCTACACGGTGAGGATTTGCAAATTAGAATTTTCCTGTCACCCTGTTGAAATTGTTTAGTCAAACCTCCTGCAGTTCTTCTCCTCCCTAATGCTCTTATAATTCAGCAGAGGAAAAGTAAAAAAAAAAAGAGAGAGAGAGAGAACAAGACACTATTACACTGAGCAGATTTTGTTTTATAATAAAATCACCAGTGAGACAGGTGGGTTCATGAAGGTCTTCCAGGTTTTGGACAACACCCCAGATATGTCACAGGCTGGACTGTCGATATTCTGGCACCATAACTCCTCCTCCCCTCCTTGGCAGA